ATTTTGATGTTCATGTTAAACTTAAAGAATGTCATGAAACAAAACCAAATACAAGTCGTTGTCCATTATGTCATATGAATATACCTGAAGGTGATAAACCATGGCGTGATCATTTAATGGGTGTTGATGGTTGTGTTAAAAATCCACGACGTATTCAAGCATTAAAAAAGAGTAATTTATTAACAAAAAACAATAATAAAAAATATGATGATTTAATAAAAAAAAAATTTTTTTTCTTTGTATTCTTTTTGTTTTAGATAAATATTCTCAACAGCAACAACAACAAAAATCAGTTGTTGTTCCAACATCTCAAGTAAATGTAATGAAAAAAACAACAACAGGTGGACAAAAAAAAGTAACAACAACAGTTAAATAAATGAATATAATTCTCATAAACAATCTCACGATCATTACTTTTCGTTTTTTCTTCTTTTCTGTTTAAAAATGATACTGTGTGGTCTTTGTGTTCTTTATTTAAAATGACATCTATTCTGTTTCTTTTTTTTTTTGATACCATCACATACCATCATTATTGTTTTGTTTTTATGGTGACGATTTCTCATTCTGAATAATAATTACGAAATTTTTCTTTTCTTCTTTTTTTTTCTCCATGTTCTTTTATGTTTGAGGGCCGATTTGCTTTTCTTTTTTCATTTTCGTTTGAAAAATGAGTGATTATTGTTATTATTTGGCATTTTGTGTACATATATATACTTTAAAATAATAAATGTATTATAGGTTGGGTTTATTTGTAGTGATCTTGCAAAAATGGACATGTTTTAAAACTAAGAAATTCTTTGTTCTCTATTTCTACCAGAATCATTAAATCAACATAAAACATCATTTGAGCCTATTAATGTAGTGTCGTGCACGGGTACGACTTTAGGCTAGCACATTCGGCCGTCTTGTACCTGATGCCAGACCAGAGCTAATCGACATGAAACACATACTTTCACAGTCACAGTATAATATTCAAACTGTTATTCTATATGGAGAAGTATACTATTTTGTTTGTTTCATAAACAGTTATAGAATAAAGTAAACAATGCAAGATTTATTTGATGTCTTTATGTTTCAAAAATTCGATCAATTATGGTAACGATACGTTTGCTTGTTGCTGATGACACTCGAATACAATGTAGTTTTAGTGCCCAATGTCATGATTGTGGATACATACACGAATGCTTTTTCCATCATGATAATACATGTTCACTTTTACGATTATTCGTTTTCAGTTCCATACATTTAATTACTTCGTTATATGCTTCGTCATCATCTATAAATAATCTTGCATTAAAAACGAATTCTTGTAGTACAAGAATATTGGTCTCGACTTTTGTAACTTGTTCTCGAGTACAATCAATTGCTCAGATTTTCACTCTTATGCGTTTATATAAAACAGCAGTTTGAAAAAGTAAAAATATTTTGAAATATCAAGATGTCGTTAGTTGCTGAGTCGCGCTCTGCACTCGAATTCATGCTCAGGCCTAGGTCGTAGTAGAATAGAAATATTTTTGATCATTATATTGTGTGTTTTCGAATTCTGAAACCTACAAATTGTTTCTTACAATTTGATCAGTACTTCATGTATTCGTTTGTTACCTATTTGCTGCAGCAATTAACTAGAACTAAAGTGAATTCGAATCGAATCGATTTAAATATTCAGATAGTGCAGATTTTTTACAAACAAGAAGAAAGTCAAGATCATATTCTTTTATTATCTCGTTGGTCTAATGTATTAAAATAGTATCGTACTGTTGCTTAAACTGTAGAAAAGTAGTTTGTATTGATCGAAAAATATTTTATTCGAAAATTTGAAGAAATGTATCGATTGTACATTTAAATTTTTTAATCATTAGTTTAGCAATCTTGATTTTTTGTTAGCGTTCTGTCTCTCTCTCTCTTTCTAGTCGGTAAGTAGAAATTTTCTCATTACCAGTTACTTGTTCATGTTAAGACAACTAATCATCCCTAGTTGTACTGCGTACATTTTTTATTTTCTTGACGATATCTAATTTTTAACTGACAAACTAGATATCCATCAGACTGATTTATACCTAATTTGAGGTAAAACAAAATACTTTTCAACATAACAATACACAAATAATAATACGCTTTGACTATTAAATGTAGGATATTAATACTGAAAAAACATTTATAGCCTTCCTTTGGCATTTTGCTATTGTATTGAACAAAAGTAGCATCGGCCTTTGCTCTATTAGATATCTAGTATATTTAGTAGATTTGATTCTAGTTTATGAATGAATAGCAGTGAAAATTTTCATCAATATTTTGATCATACTCATCTGTCAAATCTATTAATAAATACTGACATTCGAATAATTATGACTTCGAATAATATTACAAATTTTTTTATTTGTTATCAGCATGTTAACTGACGTCCATGACATTACAAATCTAAGTATATACTCATGTACAAGACTGCTACATTGATATATATCGAACTGTATCGACTAGTTTCATTCTTATACATAGATGGTGATCTTAAAGCTAATGATTCAACAATGAAGCCATTCGAATAAACTCTCATCAATAATCCGATCTTGAAAAAACTATCTATGTGTTATCATTGGACACTGGTAGTTATATTCATGTCCCATTCTACATCTAAAAGCAACTAAATATTTGGTTTTTTGATTTGTTACCTCAGAAATAATAGCAAAAGTCATTTCTGATGAACAATAGAGCGAGATTGAACTGAATATGAATTCGCTTGTACTTGAAATATATTATTCGAATTCGTTCTAATAAAGGTTTGGACGCTTTAGAAATGTTCGTTTGTTGAAAGAAACTCGACTTTTTCAATCAACATTTGAAAAGTAATGATTAATAATTTCTTTGAATGATTGACAATCACAGATTCATATGAAAACAATTATACACACGTTCTATTTCAAAAATAATATCTGATAAAAAAAAGAAAAATTTATCTTCTCGAATAAAATGTTTTATTTGAAGATTAGCTATGAAAATTAAAAAATAAGATTATCTCAATTTTGATTAGAATTCAAATTGTCTAAGCATGAGATGTTACATAGACAGAGTTCACCTACGATCATTTTCAAAAGTGATGACTGTATTTAATGCAACAATTTTTCTAAAATCGAAAAATTTCTATTCCACTTCTTTGAATGGACTTTTATTTTCTTTTAAGGACAAAAAAGAAAACTGACACTGTTCATAGGAAAATATGAAATAAAACGTTGGAGATTTCATAGAAATTACTTGTTTCGCCCAACAGTTCAATCTATCAACAATGATAAAATCGTGTACACAATGTAAGATAGTAGACAAAAGTTTAATAACAAGGTTTTTTTCTGATATATTAAGCAGTTAGCTCGTATTCAGACAATGATTTTAATAGCTAATAGAGTTTTTTGTCTAAAGTATTCTATACTAGATGAACTACGATGACAAGACTTCTAAAAAAAACAGTTGAATACAATAGTCTTCAGTTCTCAAAAGACTATTTTTTAACAATGCCATTTTAAAAGCACAAAATGTGAAGTCACCGCATTTTCTAAAAACTTCCATTAAAAAATTAAAAATATCATCAAAAACAAAATGTATCAAAAAATTCATCGAAAACCGTCTTTCTTTAATTTTTGTAATATTTCTAACTTTTTAGGGAAAGGTCATAGTAAATTCATCGATCTCTCATTTTATGCTCTTTAAGATAGCACTGCTAAAAAAAAGCAATCTTCTAATATTTCAAAACTATTGTGTTCAGTGTTTTTCAGGAAATCTTGCCATCATAGTTTATTTTGTATAGAATACAATAGATAGGAAATTCCATTAGCTATGAAAACCATTATCTAAATTTTAGCTAATTGCTTTATGCTATACAAAAATAAACGTCCTTGTTAAACTCTTTCCTTCACTATCTCATATTTGTGCCTTTGTTTCGACCGTATTCCAACTATTTGTCGTTATGCAATAAGTATAAAAAATTTTCCAGTAAAATTAACAGATGTCATTTTTTCTAAGACTTTCACAAATGTCAGTAAAGATATTGCACTAAATAATCGTTCATAAAAAATTTATACTATATTCACCTTAATTTACATAAGTGAACTGTCAATTACTTTTTTTCAATCTCAATTCGTTTCATATTTTATTTTTTGTCAACTAAAAGTAAAGTAGTATTATCTTTTCTTGCTAAATATAACATCTTACTATGATAAACTGTCAATTATTTCATATAAACTATTAAAAAAAAAAAGAAACAATAATCTTCCATTTAGAAAATGTAAAAAAAATTAAAGAAATTAATTTCTAATAATAAATTCTAAAGAAAATTTTTATCACAATATGCAAATAACATAACTATTAATGTCGAATAGATATGTTTCTTTTTGTTTTTGAAATTTCAGGTTGATTATACAAACATTAGATTTCTATCGGAATTCTACCATGAATAAATAATGACTTGTCATATTACAGAAATGACTTACATGAGACATCAGACAAACGTTATCTAATTTTTACATATTATTAATGTTTTTGATAGTTAATTAGAGCATCTACATTTCTATTTTGCACTGAAAGAAGTCTTTAAAAAAAACATTATGACCTTCTTTTTATTTATTGTAAATAGTTACATATTTTTCTGAATGTAATCATTCAATTTTTGACATAAGTTCTTTAAAAAAATTTGTCAATTTGTATGTAGAATTAATCTTAAATACTAAAAAAAGAAACGATGGAAAGCAAAGAAAAGTAAAACAAAACAAAACAAAAAATAATTTGTTATATGAAGACACACTTCATTGTTCATATTATATTTCCTGGTCAAAATAATCTTCTTTGTAAAACAAAAAAAAAACCTATTTAGATTTAAATAATAATTTAAAGTAAATTGTAGTTATAAGCTTATCGTTTTATTAACTGAAATCTTTTTTGTTCACAATAAAAAAACAACAACAACAACAACAACAACACATGAATATAAATCACAGTTTAGAAATAGTAGATACAGATCATATTGACTCATTGACAATCATACCTGGTGCGGCTAGAATAGTTGTAGTTACGCCATTATGACTGCCACTACTTTCATTATACATAGTAATTGAATCTTGTGGCATTATATATGATTGATCTTCAATCATTGATGATGATAAATCAATAACGAATGAATTTGCACTTTGTTCATTTTGACTTGAATTAACATTATATGGTATAAATTGTAATCGAAAACATATTGTTGGTTTTTCTAATTTCCATGAAAAACGTAAATTTGTATGACATAAATAAAATATTATTGATTGTATATGTTTAGAGAATTGAGTTAGAAAACAAAAAAGAAATAATAAACTCATACGTAATGGTATTGAAAAATAACTTATTAAAAAAAGAGAATAAAAGAATATTCTTATTGGTAACCATTTAAATGGTGTTTGAACAAAACATAATATTATTGTTAATAGACATACATAAATAAGGCGAATAAAGGTAAACAATGTATGTGAATAAATAATAATATATAGAAAATTTTTTAAATGCATTAATAAAATAAATTGTTTATGTCTTTCGATTGATTTTTTTCTTCTAAATGTAAATGGTTTATCATAAAATTGTTTATGATAATTAATTGATGTATCTGTTATTTTATATGCATAAATAACTGTTAAATAATATGATATTAAAATAAAATAACATATTGAATGAATTAATGAAAGAAAATTTGTTAAAAAAAAATTTTTTTGTCCATATGTACAACGATTAATACGATATGAATTATTATATTCATTTTCATCTGTTGTTTGATTTAATATTTCTTGTTGTTCAACACTTTTTATTATAGTAAAATATTCTAAAGGAATTTTCAATATTATTTCATGTATTGAACCATCTATATTGTTATGTATAATTTTATGTTTAGTAATTTTTTGTTGATTTTGTACAAGAATATTTTTTTCATAACCTTGAGAATATTTATCAAGATCTGTTATAAAACGTTGATGAGAATGTATTTTTATTTCTGTTATATTATATAATGATATAGGTAATTCTTGTACATTAATTTCATATTGTGTTTCATTTAATGTTATTAAATGTACTTTTTCTACTTTTAAATGTGTTATCCAATTATTAACATAAACAATAAATAATAAACAAACAAATGTTAATGCACCAGAATGAATATAACTTGAATTAGGTAAAATATTATGAGTTATAAAATATCGTATATGATGACGACTTAAAGCAAATATAAATATTATTGTTAAACATTGACCAGCATCTGATGATGATTTTAAATAATATGGCCAACGACATAATTGATTAAGAAAATGTTCAGTAGCATTATATTTCAATAATATTAATGATAATAATTGAATAAAATCATAGAATATTAACGCATATATTAATGGAATAAGACAAGTTAAAAAAAGTTTTTTCGATCGAAATATCAGAAGAATTAATGTTCCAATAATAAATAAACATGTTATAAAAGATAATATACAAAGAACACGAAATGATATTGTATTAAGAAATATTTCCTCAATATCATCGAAAAATAATTTATAAATCGGTAACGAATTAATATGTAATTGATTGTTAGCCATGAATGATAATAATTCTTATGACTTTGATGAAAAAAACAAATAAAACAAAAAGGCTGCTAGACAATTTATGTCACAGAAAAGATCTTGTGTTATGAAATGTAGTTGATCTTTATATATGATGATTATTGTAATTAACAACAAAAGTACATACACTTTATTCTTGACGATAATTATTTTGATGACACAGACATGTTAAATGACGCGTTTTATGACTTTTTATATATAATGATCTAAAAGATGATATATAATAAATATATTGACAATAAATATATGAAACAAAAAAAAAATGTTCTAAGAGAACTTTCACAAATTCTTTGTTCTCTTCAATTAAGTAAAACAAAAAAAAGAAATTTAATCTAAAACATTAATAACTTATCAAGGGAAAAGAAAAAAAGTAACACATTTGATGTTTATATAATATTCTTTTCTTTGCTTTGACACGTTCTTTGTCACGTTAAATTATTATCTAATGTTTGAATCTATATTCTCATGAAATGATTAACATAAAGATTTTTCAAGAAGATAGAAGAAAAAAATAAATTCAAACAACAAATAATAAGTCTTACTCATAAGAAAAAATATATACATTTGTTGATATCAAGTCTTTGTGCATGTTAGGTTATGGATATCATTTTGCATTCATAAATAATATCTCATGAAAAACAAGACGATTAGCAGTATATTTTCCTATTAACGTGACATTATTTCTTCTTCTTTTTAACTACATAAAAGAAGAAAAAGAAAACGAAGAAAATCTTAGATACTCAATAGACAAACATAAAAGAAAAACTAATGACATCATACGTTGTATATAATACATTGTAATAGACAGGTTTGTAATATCATCCAACTGAATATATAAATATTAGACTTCTATAATATTAATGATAATAAATATTCGTCTAGATATAATAGAATCAACCTTTAAAAAAAAACCCAATAAAAAAATTCCATCCGACATGAAATAGGTCAACATCATACAAAATATAGTTTTCGTTTAAATTACGTATCATAGAAACATAACTGACACATGCATTATCAACACAAAAACAGCTGTCTATTTCGTTGTCATTCAAAATGATATGCATAAATTCATCTCTAACTTAAAAAAAAATGAAAAAAATTGGTCTTATTTTATTGAAATTAAATATTTTTAAATATAATGAATATTGTAATAATTTATTGTGTACAAGATTTGTTTAAATAAAAGCAAACAATAATTATTAATAGAGAAAAAAAAAATATTCGACTTTCTTTTTTTTGAATATGCACTAAAAAATTTACTATTGTTTTCCTTTTACTTAGAACTGAATGGTAGGTGTAATTTTTTTTTTTGAAGAACATACTACTTACATCAATAAAATTTTGAAAACAATTAAAAAGTATAATAATTATGTTAAGAAAAAGAAAAAAAAAAAAGAAAGGTTCTTCTAACGGATAAAAAGGAACACTCTTCATTAAAAATAAATAAAATTTTCTTTTCAATACTTAACTCATTATTCAATTTAATAATATTATTATTTTATAATATCGAAACGAATTAATAATAATATTTATAAGACAAAAAGAAAACTCAACTATAATATCAACATGCATTTTTATGAAAGAATGAAAAAAAGAACAATAATAAGAATATGTAGATAGTCAAATAAATATTCTAGAAGCATCACAAATATGTGTATTGAATGATTCATTTATCATACTTATTAATTAGAAAATAAACAAAAGATATTTCTCTACATAAATCTGTAATTATCAATGACGACAAATGCATATGCACTATAGTGTGTCAATTTCCTTTTAACTCGTTTATAAGACAAAACAGTAAATATTGTGATATAAAGAATAGATTGTTTTTTCGGAACTGATTGAATTTCCTTTTCTTTTGTCTTATGCTTGCTGTCGTCGTACTTATTTATTCTTTCATCTTTCTTTGTCATAGTATTATGCACATTGATAATAAATTCATAATTACACGATAAGAACATTACATGCATGTTTATTAGTTGCTTGTGTCTTTTTTTTTTTTGTACTGAAACAAAGAAAATAATTATTTCATGTTCGTTTTTTTCTGTTTTATGATCTGTTTCGATAAAACAAAAAAAGAAGAAGAAATGAACGTACTCCTAATGTATTTCACTACGAATTTTTTGATTAATAGAAATGTCAAAAAGAAAAAAATAATCTATAATCAACTAATCGAGAAGAAAAAAAAGCACATACACTTTCTATCCTTTTTTGATCTTTCTTAATTCTTCAAGTAATTCATCAAAATCCATTTAATGTTAATATAATAGAAGAATTTTTTTAATCTTACTTTTTGATCAAACAACGTATCCTAATAATAAATCTGATTCAAAGACAACAAAATAAAATGAAAGACATACTTCGTTATGACTAAAAAGTATTCCATAATAATTATTAATTATATAAATGTATGTAATACTTGAAAAATGAGACATTGCCAATCTCATGTTAGATGACTATCATATTAACATAATTATCTACTGAAAATATGCGACGTTCATTAAAACAAAAACATCACGTTCACAATTGACATTAAAATCTGTAAGAATAAGTACATTCTCCTATCAAAGTAAATTTTTTGATTTAAAAACGAAATAGAATTAAACTAAATAGAAAAATCTAAAACAAAGTCTTTACACTATATGCACTGATGATCTGGCCGGGAGGGAGATGTCAAGAGTGTAGCACATACGTCATCGTGGGAAGTTTTTTGATTTTTCCCAATGGAACTAAAATTTTTTTTTTTTGTGTATTGTGTTAGAAGAAAAATATTCTACTTTTATAAACAATCATGACATCCTCGCTCATCATGTTGGCTATTTTGAATTACTTCTGGTTTTATATATGCAATGGTAAGTATAAAAACGATGATAGATATGATTAAAAACAAGAGATGATTGTATGAATTAATTCTTAGTTTTTATCATACTTTCTTAGTTCTAGAAATCATAAGTGTCTATATAAAAAAGTATCCATTACTTAGACTAAGTTTTGATTGAATAAAAAAAACGGATTTGTTTTTTTTTTCAAAAAATGATGTTGAATAACTTTCTTTCAATTATTCTCATTGACTTGAAATGCATGAATATTACTAAAGATGCCTCTCAATTGAAGAACACTTCATCTTAATGTTATCATGATTTTTCTTTATACAAATTAGATTTTTATACTAATCGACATTACTCATATGACAGTATTCACCATGTCTCCATATAGTAACAACAAATGGCAAATTTTATTTTTTTATCGTAAACTATAAAAATTATCGTGACATAGAACAAATCTAAATTAATAAAAAAAAAATTGTATTTTGGAACCAAGCGTGAAAAAAATGAGAAAAAACAAAGTTAAAAAAAACTTTCGTATTAAATTGTACTCAGACATTTAATTAAAATTTTATCTTCATTTTCATTTTAAGAATATTGTCAACAACTTTGAAGTATCTAAACATGCAAACTTTTGTCCAACAAATTAATTAGAACATGTAGATTATTCATCTCAAATTTCTTTTTTTTTTTTCAGTATGGATTATAAAATAAAATTCGACACATAATCACATAGTATGTGTCAATCAAATTCGAATATTAAAACTTTTTATTTTCGAAATTTTATTTTATGTTGTGATCATGTTGTTCACTATGAATGACTGTTTAAAAAAGAAACAAGAACTTCCACTGAACATAAGTGACGTAAGAAAGATGTTTTCAAAAGATAAATAATCCTTCTGACATAAACAGAAAGATACAATAAAAAAAAAAATGAATTGTTCTTTTTCTAAACATGAAATCTATTCAAAAAACAAGAGAGAAATAGGAAATAATGTAACTGTTGGAAAGAATTTATAAATAGAAAGTATTGTTCTATAATATATTATGCATCATATTACGATGTTTTTTTATGTAAATAAAAAAAAAAAGATGTATTTTGATCAAAGACTTCTGTATTTACTTCAAACAAGAAAACAAAAACAAAGTATCTGTTTAAGTTGATAATTTTACTTGCATTATATGTATCAACATTAGTAATGGATTATATAATTTTTGTGACAGGTTTATCAATCATTTAAATTTCGTTAATATATTTGCCTAATTTTTTAGTAATGTATTAGAAAATCTTAATTCTAATAATATGTAAGTATTAAATGAAGAAAAATTATAAAAAACTTTTCAGACTGATTTATTTTGTTTATATTATAATCATATATGTAAGATTATATTTTATGATGAACAACATGAAACTCTAGTGATGTCTTCTTCTTCCTTTTCTATTATCATTATAATGAGATCATTCATGTTTTTTTCCAAAATATATGCACATGTATTGATTCAATTCTCACAACAACAAAAAAAAAATTTGTTAACAAAATTTATATTATATCAATTATTGCTTGACATATTTTTTGAAAATTTATCAATAATTTCATCAATTGATTATTATCATCGAAAATCCATTTATCACATCGTATAAAATCATTATTACTAGCATCATACTGAAACAAAAGTGAATTTGCTACTAAGCAAGATAATAGCTAAAATATATTCATTTATTAAACATGATAACATAAAAAATACAATGAACATTGTAAAATTTCTGCGAAGAAAAGAGAAACATTGTGTGATCAGTAATAAAAGAAAAAAGAAATAATTTATTTTAAAGTCATTCATTTTTCATCAATATGATGAATTCCCTTGTGCATACTTAAAAATAAACTAAATCTCGTATGAATTGTAAATTTTCTATGGTTATGAAGTGCATCTTGTAGATGACAATATTAAGCAAAACAAAAATAGTTTCATGTAGAGTTGAAAAGTTCTGAAAAAGAAAAAACGTTACAAGTAACTTATAAGCAGAATTCTTTGATTTAAGAATATGTAAAAGTCAAATTATATGTCATTTTTGAATATTTGACATGCCATATATTTCTCTAATTGATAGTTTATTATCAAGCTTTGAACAATATATATATATATCAATTTACCTTATAATAGTGAAAATCAAACCTAACGATCTTTGTCACATTAACATCGAGATTACATTGTGCTTGCTCACCTAAAGTAATGATACTAATAAAAGAAATAAATTACTAATCACAGATGGAACAAAGTCATGTTAATCACACGTAAATTAGCATGTTCGAGACATTGATAATCATATATGTCATGTCTAGCACATTTTTCTACGTCATCTATATTACATATTATGTTTTTTACAATCTATCTTTGATTATCAATCAAAAGTATAAAATAATATTCCTAAAACTAAAAACAATATTTCTTCTATTCGAAAAACTTAACAGAATTTTTTGAATTATATTTTGCTTTTTTTTGTAACTAATATCACAACACCAAAGACAAACGAAAAAATTCCATTCACACATTATACAAAAGAAAAAAGAAAAATTTCCGGGATAATTTTTTTTTTTACTTTACATCAAAAAGTATCTACATAGAAGATTTTTATAGTTTTGTTTTATTTGCAATACATTTCCAAACATAAACTGTTGGTAATGATATATGTGTAACATTAGTTTGAACTTTTCGTTTAACAAAATCAATTTTATCAAATATTGCATCTTTTTCTCCAACACAATGTGTTACACGTGATAATTGTTTCTCATTATCAGTATCTTTAGGTGAAAGTACTTGACCACCAAATGCTTCAATATGTCGTTTTAATTTATTAAATTCATCCATTGGTAATGATGATGATAAATAAATATATTGATTATCAAATATATTCGGAAAATTAAGTTTAAGTAAACTATTTGGTAATGGTTTACGTATAATTTTAGTTGGTTTTGGTTGCATTTCAATGTCATCATCAGAATCAATTTCAAGTAATTTACGTTTAGTTGGTGTTGGTTTTTGTGGACTATTATTATTATTATTGTTATTATTATTATTATTATTATTATCATCATTTGTATCGCCAAAATGAAACTATAGAAGAAAAGGTTTTGTTTTTAAAGATGTTTATTTTATTTGAAATAAACATACAAGATTTTCTTCATCTTCATCATCATCATTTTCTTTTTTTGATGGTTTGGATTTTTCAAAAAGTACAGTTAAATAATCAAGATCTGTTGCTTCTTTCCATGTTTTATCATCACGGACTTTTGTTACACGAGGAAATCGAATCGATATACCATTTGCTGTATGTTGTTTAGATTTAGAAAATTCTGCACCCTAAAAAAAAAGAATAAATTTTTTGATGTTAAATTATTGTGATAAATAAATATAAAACAAAAGAATCTTTACAGTTATTTCCCAAACAGGTGATTTTTTCGGATCAATAACAATAAAATCTGGTACAAGATCACGATTAATATTTAACCATTTAGGTATTTGATTTGGATTTTTCGATATTTTTGTCATATTTGGTTTTAATTCATGTTGAAGTTTTTCTAATGTTGCATCATCAAAACCATTACCACATTTTGCACTGAAAAGAAGATGAGAAGAAACAAAGACAGTAGAAAAAAAACACGTTTGACGCACGATTAAAAGATTACTTACACAGTATACCATCGAACAGTTTTTGGATCATAACAACCAAGTAAAAAGACACTCATTAAACCACCTTTTTTACCTGTACCATAATAAGCACCGAGGACAACTAAATCAGCTGTATCAGCCATTGTACCTTCCATTAAATAATCTTTTTTAACTTTAAGCCAATGACGTTTATTTGGTTCATACATTCCATCAGGATTCTAAAGAAAAAACATTGAATAATTTGTTTATGAATGTTAAACTCGAATAGTTAGACAAATACTCTTATAAATACATAACAGTCTCTTCAATTCGAGGTTTTAAAATAGCAAATTATGCTACATGGTAGGTTTTTTTAGAAAAATTAATTGAGAATACTAACAAAGAAACTGTTTGAACTGATATCTACCATTTGAACTTATATTGAGCTCACAAAGAGGCATCGGAAAGACTAGAAAAACCTAAAAGGATTCATCACTATGGGCTTTTGGTTTCGAGTCAGGATCGTTTTACTGAGTTTTTGATCCAAGTCACAGAATTAGGTTTATATCTATGAGCAATGCAAACCTAACTTAGTTTCAAAGGCCAATTCAGACAAACGTTTGTTAGAATTTTTCTTGTCCTACCAAGCCGTTCTCATAGATCCAGTATAAGTGGGAACGGTGTGTGTCAATTTAGTTACATTCCTGGTAAGTTCAAACGAATTTTTTAGTGTCTCAGTGACAACTAATCATAGACAATCTTGTTCAAACATCGTATTGACTTTGTTAAGAATGATTATCTCTATCTTTTCCTACATATAAAATAGACATTTACTTTAAGAACTAATCCTTCAAGTCCTTCGGCAATTGTAAAATTGATTAGATGTTTAAGTTCACTTTTTTTATTGATTGTTTTCAATTCAGAAAGAAGAATACGATTTTCAATTGGTGCCATATGTTCAGTAAGAATTTCACGACGTTCTTTTAATGTCTTGTCTGAAATACAAAGAAAACTATTTATTAAAAACTCTATGTATTCTAGACTTCAAAATTCCTCAATTTTTGTGTCAAAATCACATCCAAACCAAACTTTGTAAATTACCCGACAGTAAGAAATTTTCGAAAAACAATTGAAATCATAGCTTTTTAAATACAAGAAAGGATTAGAGCTTCATTCATCACGGTTAGACATTTACCGAGATGTAATTTCTTGCTTTTTGTTCTATTCAAAACCAAAAATTATTATGATTTTTTCAGAGAAAAGCTAGTGCATAATACGATCTGATCAAAATGCTTTCAAATATCAAAATATAGCATCTGATTATATTAGCACAAACAAAATATTACAAAATAACTCCCTCTACAAGTACATCACGGAATATAGATGTACTGGAAAGAAAATTAAATAAAAGACTTTATAATTGAAAATTTCGTCTAGAAGTAAGTCTCATGATTTTAAGAATATCCTAAAACGTTCAGTCATAACGATTGCTTTCTTTTTGCAATATTCAATGTTCGAAATGAGAAATGATCGGAGAAACCGAACATTTTTTGAACGTAAGAAACAAAATAGTTTTCACTCAAACTATTATGATATTCTTAGAAACATAAAATCTACTTCTAAATAAATTTTCAAGTCATATAGATTTTCCTTCTAATTGTCGTTTTCTATTGTTTTTGCCTATTTTTAGTATAAGATTAAAAATAATTTTTTTTTTGATAACTTACGTAAAAGACTTTGACCATTATAATAAAGACAATCAAAAATGAAAAATGCTTCATTAGCTTCTGAAAATTCTTTTTTTTTATGTACACCAAGTGTACCAAATGGTAATGGTTTTTTTGTTCTAAAAGCGAAAATGTTTAAAATAAAAAGAAAAATTTATTCATAAAATCTATTTTACTTTCTATCAATTAATAAAATTTCACCATCAAGTATCAATGATTCACCTTTTGGAAATGCTTTTGAAACATATTGACTTATTTGTTCAATTTTATGTTCAGTAACAGGTTTTAAACTTCGAGAAAAAAATTTAAATTTATTTGTTTGATCTTTATGTAATTGTAAACGTTCGCCATCATATTTTATTTCAGCATAAAAACCATTTGGACAACGTTTAAATGCAAAATCAACGGATTTACATGGTTCAGCAAGCATTGGATGAACTTCAAAATATAACAAAAGAAAAACGAAATTTTTCTTATTTTTTCTATTATATTGAACAGAAGCTGTTAGTTCAATTCCTACGGGATTATAATATAGGATATGATATATCTACTGCAGCTAATCATAAGAAGACAGTTTTATTCTATCTATTTTGCGACACATTTCTTCACCAACACAATAAGAAAGTAGTTCATATATAAAAACGAAACGTTATTGATATACAGTCTCTGATCATATACTCACAATGTCTGGCACGGAATAGGAAGATGTTGCTAAGGCATCTGTCACAACCTATGACGATCTCTAGCTACAGTCTGTCACACTCTGTGTGGAAGAGAGGCTCTGGGTTTTTACTTGTATATTTCAACTCGGCTTTTAGACTGTGCTTTACAAAAAAATTGCAACAAGACTATCAAACCTGGTGTCATAAGTTCAATTTTAATTGATAATTGTTTATTAAGTTGTGTACCATTATCAATAGAATTTTTATGTTCTAAATAACGTTTAATAAACGATTGTAAATCGTTTGTCGCTTGAAAACTTTCATAAGCATTTGGGCCAAGACTATCAATAATATGTTTGGGACCAGCATTAATTTTCTAGGAAATAGAAGAAATCAATAGATGATTAGAAAAAAAACGAAGAAATATTCGATATGTACAAGATCTTTTTGAATAAGACGAATAAACATACGTAAATCATTAACGGTTGATTTTTCAGTTATTTTACGTAATAATTGTATTTGGTCTTGTTCACGTGTTAATTGACCTAATTCATGTAAATAATTGTCAACATCATAATTTGATAACATGGTTTTTGGTGGTGGTTTTACATGTGTTGTTGCTGCATAAAAATCACCTATTGTTTCAGCAATATCTTTTTAAATAAAAAAATAAAAAAAATTGAATTTATTTTTTTTTTCTTTACTAGTTTTCATTTAAGTATTTTTCTTACCACCACATTCTTCACATTTTTGAATCATTTCACTTACATTTTCATGAAAAATTATTGAAAAAAGTTTACATAATTGTTTTGATTTTAGATTATAAATTATTGACTTATAACCTTTACTTGGTAAAAGAAGATGAAATAATAGACTTAAGTTTCCTAAAAAAAAAAACAAAGAGAATATTTATTCTAGTGATTCGAAGAAAGAATTAGAAACATCTGTTTCTGGGTTTAAACTATTGATTATCATTGAATAACTGAAATGAGATTCTTTTTTCTTGAAGAAATGGTGAAACTTCAGACTTTCAAATTTTCTGAATTCATCAGTCAAAAAAATCTTGTTTCGTGATTTAAATATTACAATATTTCGATTTTAAATTTCAGTTAATTGTGAAAAGATTTTAAATTATCTTCAGATATGAACTATGATCATACGAGATTATTCGATTGACTTTTATCTTTTTTCTCCTGAGAAATTATTTTTTGACGAAAGAAGTGTCCCAACTGATTAATCAATTTTGAGTCTACTCTATATGCATCATATAGATCCTAATCAGTTATTGAATACCCTGGAAAACGTTTGGGCTCGAAATGTTTTCAAGGTCTTCATAACTCATTAGGTCTACATGATGTACATAATCCTGATTCCAAAACGATTAATCAGTTCAGAAATTGTTCTTTCTATCTTCAATTTCACGATTGCAGTACAGTAAATACATTGAAAAAAATTGAATTTTACCTTAATTTTCAAAATGGAATCTTTTTTTTTTCAATTCTATTAGAGTTGTATTAAAATTCTTACCTTTATAACTTTCACCATCACTACCATAAGTAATAAATTGTTCAACAATAGATGTTTTAGCTAAATGACCATTTGTTTCAGCAATTTTTGTACAAAGACCACGAAATTGTCGAAACGAATTATCTGGATGTTTCGGATCATCATTTATGGGTATATGGACTCCAGTTGTTGCTGTTGTTGATCTATCTATTGTATCTTCTTTTATTGCTACCGATTTTTTCTTATCAATAACTTTAATATCATCATTATCAATTGTTATTTCATTATCATCATCATCTTCGTTTGCACTTGAAGCAGATGTTGTTGGTGGTAATACTTTCTTTATTGGTGTAACTACTGTTGGTTTTGGAACTACAGCAGTGACAGATTTTGTTGTTTTTTTTGCTGGTGATTTAGTTGCTGGTTTATTAGCTTTTGCTTCTTGAACTCGTTTAATTTGTTCCAAAATAATTTCTCTATCAAGTGGACTTATATTTAACCATCCATCAAGATCAGTTGAACTTTCAATAATTTTTGTTGTTGCTCGTGCATGAAGAAATGTATCAAACATACATTGTACATGATGATAAATTTTCATCATATCACCTTCCGAAAATGGACTAGGTGTTAATTTAGCAATACGTATTTCACCTTTAGCAATTTTTGCTTTACATTTTTTACATGCTGATGTTCCAAGTTTAGCATAATCAACTGAATAACGATTTTCGGTCATGTTATTTAACAAGATGAATTAAACAACAATCTGAAATGAGTTTTATTCATGTATAGATAAAAAGAAAAAAAAATGAAAACAAAACATGAAAAATGAATTATGATGAACATTAGAAAGCGCGAGATTAAGAGAGAAGATCATAAAAATGCTGTATTCTTCTCCAATTCGTCAAATCAAACCAAAGCTTTTTTTTCTTCTCGATAAATATCCATGTATCTATAAAAATAAAACAAAAAATTTTCATTTTTTTTTGTTTCTATTACACAAAACATAAAATGAAATTTTTATTTCTTTGTTATTTCAAGACATCATCAATTGAAATATTTAAAAAAATAAATATTACATACATAGACATACAATATTAATTAACAAATATTATATTAAAGTAAAAAAAAAAAAAAAGATTCATTTGTTGTTCATAGAATGTTTTCATAAACTCAGATCTCGTTTCTTTTTTTTTTATTGACTAGTAAAATACATACAACAAAAAAAATATCTATCAGAAAAAAAATTGTGTCTTTTTTTAAACAAACAACAGAATATTTATTATTAAAAAGACTAAAAAATTTTAAAATGATTTATTTCAAATTCAATATTATCGAAATTTTTCGTCATCAAATTTGTTTTCAACATTCATTTTATAGATACATATAGTTTTACTACTTATATGATCAAGAACTAGAAGACAATTTATCATTATTATCATCATCATTTGAAAATATTTAATACAATCAATCATAATATTTCTTTTTTTTTTTTTTGTAAAACTTTAAAATCATATTTCATTGAAGTTATTCTGTTAATAAATAATTTAATGTTTCTGATTGAGAAAAAATAGATCAACGAAAACATACCAGATTCAATTGACTTCATTTGTGAAATATCATTATTATTAACTAATATTGATAAAATAGAACATGATAATTCTTGTTTCTTTTTGGATTTTCTTATGCTTGTTAACATTTGGTTCTTTCACTTTATGTTCCAACTCGATCGAATAAAATGTTTTCTTGTTTTTAATTTTATAGAATTTAAAAAAACATAGAGTCGAATGTGATACACCAATACTAATAATTATTTTACTATTATGAATTATTTCTTTTGATCATCAACTAGGAATATGCGTTAAGAATTGATTGGCACTAGGTTTTTTCGTATGAATTGATAATTAATATGTTGAAGAAACAATTGATGATGATGATGAATTCATTTTGTTTGTTACACTAGATAAATGAAGAAAGGAAGAACTTTTTGGTCTGCTTTCAGAAAAGATACTTAAGTTCATTACAAAATATGTACCTATTTCCGACTCGAGGATAGACTTAAATAACAAAAGCAAAAAAATTCTAACCTCTAAAAGTATGAAGAATTGAACTATCTGAGCGTACAATCTTACACACGAATGTACAGCAACCATTTGTTCATTCATAATATAGATTGATCGAATTCTTTCTTAGCAATACTATATATAACTTTTTTAATAGCTTCCAAAATTTATTTATAACGGTCACTGATCGTTACAGTCCACTGATCACATATTTTCTTCTTTGTATAATATCTTGTTTAGTGTTGACCTCAATTATACGTGTATTTCTTTCACTTTTTTTGTGACCACTACTTAAACATATATTCAGAGTACAATAGATACAGTTAGAAAGACAAAGTAACTCATTGAACAATATCTTCAAAAGTAGTGATAACGTCGGTCATCAAGTTTATCATGTAATTTTTTTTTCTGATAATACTTTAGCATTTAATATAATCTGCATATTTATTATACAAAATATTGAAGGAAAAAAAGTTGGCACACGATTTAACTATTTCTAGATTAACGTGAAGATTTCATGAGATAACAAACTCCTTTTAATATGAATCTTACTTTATTAAATAAGTCCTATAGGGATTAGAGAAGATTCATTGTCATTCATAAACATGAACTTTGCTTCTTGCGTTACGGTCATATAAGTCAGTTTTTCAACAGAACTCCATAAAACACTTCAGATTATATGTTATAGAGAAAGACAAACAGGAAAAAATATCGAAAATTTCAATTAACAAGATATTTATTATTTTTGACATAATATTGACATTGTAACCGAACTGAAGAAATACAAACTTTCTACATCACGAATTCCTCGGAACATGTGTTTAATACTATTATAACGTAACTGTCGAATATAAATCAGTGCACTTTTACATAAGATCAAGGGCAGAAGAAATTAGCTATTTACTTCATCTTTGAAGAATAGAAATAGATACTTATTACTACTGTGATACAACACATTTTATTCAAAAAGATGAAAGTGGATAAGACCGTTTTTCTAATCTCAACATGTTTCATTTCTTCTGTATGGAAATCAATCCAGTGGCAACAGTCGATAGCGTTGCAAAGGTTTATTTTGCGACGTCTCTTAAACAATTTTTCAAGTCATACCCGTACTCATCTATAAGATCAATAAAAACTTCGCCATCCTTCAAGGAGTACGGATATGAGTTGACAACTTGAGCGACATATGTCGCGAAATAAACCGTTTAAACGATATTAGAAACTACTAGTGGATTAATTTCAAGACACAAACCTGAAATATTTTAAGAAGGTAAACGGCCTTATCTACCCTGAAAAGTATTAAAGCGATTTTATACTCAAGTACGAGTATTTTATCTAATTCTGTATTGTAACATAGATCATACACAGATCAAGAGATCAAAAAATTTTTAATAACATTAGTACATTGAGAACTTTCTTGATGCTGTGTTTGAACTCGAGAGTAATGAGAGCACGACAGTTTTTTTTAAAACTCATTAAAGTGATCATAACTCAAGAGAAAAACCTCATGAGTCAGGAATTCTTTTAGATTTTCTTGAAATTCTATAGGACTTAAGTAATAAAACGCTAGTAAAGTATTGATGCTGTTTTATATTATTTATTTCAAACAAAATGGTCTATTACTTTTAATTTCCTTTGAAAAAGAAAAGTAAAATAAATAGTTCAATGACTTGAACAATAGAAAAATCTTTTGTTTTTTAAAATAAATCTCCAAACCTTTCTTGTTTATCTTCTGATATTTTCATTTGTTCTTGAAATATTTTATTTAATGTTCGAATTGTTGATGATGTATGTGGATTGTTTTTTTTGACATTTCTAATTTCATATTATTTCATTGATAATCAATTTCTCAGCTGATTTTCTATTTAAAAAGAAAAATTGTTCCAAAACAAAAAAAAAACAAAGAAAATTTTTTTTTTACTTAAGATTTTGTTGCGATTTTAAACTTAAATTTAATGAAGAATTTTCATTCAAATATGAATGTTTTATGTTTTTCGTTGATTAAAATCAATTAAAAATTGTTCATCTAATTACGAGAGAAAAATATTTTCTTGTTTTAGAGTTTCATTTTAATCTAATCATTAAATGAATCAATATCATATTTGAAATGATTTTTCAATATTGTTTCTAAATCTTAGTAAAGAAGAAAAAAAAAGTCTTTTCAATTGAATCTTTTTATTTTACCGATTTGTAACAAAATATTTTTCATCCATTTATAAAATTCTTGTCGAATAAAGTGTCGATCTTATTCCCATCGAAATAAAGAACATTTGGGTATTTTGATTAAATCACATATCCTAACGACTAATACAGGTTGAATCACGATAGAGAAAGAAGAAAAGAAAGAGAAAAAATACTTGTAAACACACAAAGAATTTCATTGAGGTTATTGAGGTGATCTCAATGTTATACACACACAAAAGTGCTGTTCCACCAATCAATAATCGGCTACCATGAGTTTTATTGTCTACAATAACCTTTAATTTTTAAATTATGAGAAAAGCAAACAGATGGCGTGAGATAGCTGATTTTTGAATATTTTGTTTGAGTACTAACAGATTTACGAGAAAATATTGCTTATTGTTTATCAAACTTTGTCATAATGATAAGAGATATTGAAGTTAGATAAATCGAATCTGAATAAGTAATCGTATAAAATAAACATTGATTCATACATATTTTTTATGACTTTTACACTGAAATTTTGTCACTTTTTACATTGTGATTTATATTACCGCGACGAAAATTTAACTCTTCTTAAATTGCTAACGAACAAATATTTAAACTTATAAGAATAATAAACTTTAAATGAGTCAATGTCTTGAAATAAATATGACTTATCCCTTGTTCTTCAAAAAAAAGAGACATTGAACGACATCGCGTGATTGATTCTGATAAAAAATGACAGACTAAGGATATCATAGATTTGTTCAAAGTTCATCATTGTTTTTCAGGGTAACAGGGACCAAAAATTCAACAGGAAGTGTCTTCTTATGAGTATCTGTCTGAAACAGAGTTAAAACTAATAAAATTTCTCTTCTTTTATGATTTTTCAAGAGAATGTCAAAAGTTTTGGAGAAAGTTCGACACTTTTGACAAGGAAAAGGTTTTGTCATCTCTTTCCTAAGTAGTAAATCTGGATCTGCTATTTTTATAAGACACAATTTCAACACGTTTTTACGTATTCATGATAAAATACGACGTTCATCCTTGATTAGCATAATGATTTTTTGATGAAGTGCATTGGTGACATGAGAAAAAAACCCTTTGTTTTTGCTTTAAGATAAAAAAAAAAGATTTCATATGAAATTATATTTTTTATATTTATTTTCTAGAATTTATTTTATATTTTAGCATAACGAATGTAGTCTTATGAATAATGTCATTCATTCTGCACGATGATGATTTTATAATATTAAATATTACGACTACCTGCTTTTTTATCTTAAAGCTTGTTTCAAAAACAAAAAATAATTTAAATCAATGTCTTTATTAGAAATTAGAAGATCAAATTAACAAAAGAAATCTCCTTAGCTTATATCGATAAATTTCTATTTCTTTTTTAGGTGTGGAGTTATTTTTAACATTCGATTTAATTAAAAATATATGTTTTTATTCATCTGTTGACAGATTCAGTTGTATTTTGATTTTTTGCAGAACGCTGTACGCTTTT